AGCCTGGCCGTCACCTGGTGTAAACCTGCCTTTGTTCACGGTTGTATAAGATGACTCACCCATGTCCTTCTTGTAATTGAAAAAACGACCAGACGTTTTTTCCATCAGTTCTGCTTTCAGTGCCATGTTATGTGCTTCATCTACTGTCCACACCACTTGTAGACCAATCTTATCTCGAATAGACGGTTTCAAACCTCCCAAATACCTGGAAACCTGTTGTGCCTCAGTTTCGCTTAGATTGTTACGGACGGAAAGCCTGGACCACTCCTCGGTATAATCTGCAACTGACTTATTTCCTTGCACACAATTCTGGAAAATTTGAAATATAAAATGCTCATAATTAGGCGGCAAGAACCTGTTCATCATAAGTTGTTTCATCCGCCTCCAAGATCATAAGGAGCCTTGCATTGGCGCCATCTATCCATCTGCAATCGTTCCCACCAAACAGCAGCCCCACTTCTCAATTTATGCGAAACCAGTTTGACTGACGCCCCTCCGCGACCTCAGTAAAATTGAAGAACCTCTCGACCTCTGAGATCCAATTCAGAAACTCCTCAATCTACAACTTCCCATGAAACAATGGTATGTCGGGGCAGATCCTATATTCGGGCTGGTTTCGCTGTTGCTAATTCTCCACAAAATCCTCTTCAGAGTCTTCATCGCTGATATCATCATACTGCATATTTCTCGCTGCTCTAGGGTAACGCCCACCTCCAGGGCGGCCAAGGGCGATTCCCTCGACGGGGACAGGGGGATTGACAGGGGGAGGGTTAGGTTGCCGCTCCAACAGACGCTGAACCATAGTCTCTAACCTTTCCATCGCCTGCCGCTGTTCGTCAATTACTACCCACGGATCTGCATCTGTATCCCTGCGACCAGCGTCGCGAGAATGATTTCTTCCGGCTTCGTTGTTGTTGGCCATCGAACAGGGCAAATCCGAGCTTTGATACCACTTGACGCAGAACGGAAGTAAAAGATTTACCAGTGTCAATCTTGAAAATAAGAAAATTGGAATTCTTCAAGAAATAAACTTGTATGCCATTAATAAGTGTGCCGAAAACGTTCAAAAGCCTTTAAATAGACGTTACAAGAAACCCTAAAAATATAGAATGTTAAAACATTCAAAAAATAGCGAAAATCTAAAACTGGAAATATAGAAATTAATTATTTGAAGGCCTAAATGAAGGAATTTGGCTAAAATCTCAAGATCTCGGGTTGTATTAATAGCGAAAATTCAAAACGGAAAATATGGAAATTAATTATTCAGAAGCCTAAACGAAGGAATTTGGCTAAAATCTCGAGATATGCCACGAGTCCAATTTTTCGGGCTGTTTCCAATCAACTAGCCAAATTTCAGTCCATTTCGACACCGTCGTGACAAATGACAAAATTGCCCATGGCGCGGTATTTTTTCGTCAATTTTCTGTCCAACACTTTTTCAAACTCCAAAGCTAATTGTCCTACATCAAAATTTTAATTTTCATCTTTCATGAAAAAAAGAGAGCAATCAAATGGACTGAAATCAACTTTAGTTGGAAAGAGTAATGTTTCGCTTATTTATTTATCTCTCTTTTCCTATTTCTTGACAAATGCGATCGGTTGAACTATTTGAAATCAACCCCAAGTCAAAAGAAATAATTATTCACTAATATTTTTTTCCTATTCTTAGTCCACGTTTGAGCCCCCACTTTTTAGAAAAATTATTTTTGAACAATATTTTGACCTCATTTCAACTACACATTTTTCAATAAAATAATATTATACGTAAACCTAAAATTTTTTCTTATTTTTTAACCACACATTTACCATCAATACACTATTCAAAAATGTTTTTTTTTTTTTGGACAAAAATGGGGCTCAAACAGATGTGCTCGTCCATTGAGTTACTTGAAATCAATTTCGAATTGAAAAAATTAAAGGGTTGTTCTCTTCGTGTTTCAGTTTTTCGTTTTGAATTTATTTTGGATTTTGTGTTTTTAGTGTCGATTTTGAGATTATTGAAAATATGTCATTTTTGTCATTTTGAAAAATTATTTTCAAAAATGAAAACACCTCTCATCTCGCAGTGGTGGGGTACGGTGTTTTTGTGTCGTCTCGCGGTGGTGGTGTGGAGTGGTTTTGGGTCGGTGTCGTCTCGAGGTGGTTGTGGCGTCCCCAACTTCTTCTGCTGTGGTGGTTTTGGTCGGTGGCGTCGTCATATTCTTTTACTGTGGTGGTTTTGGGCGATGGTGTCGCGGCTTCTTCTGCTGTTGTGGCCGTGGCGTCGCCGCGATGGTGGTGGTGGTTGTTGGTGGCTTAATCGAAAACACTTAAAACGCTTTTTGAAAATTTTGGCTTGATTTTAACTGAAAACACTCAAAACGATATTTTTGACATTTTTGATTTTCTTTGTAAATTTTAAACTCGTTTTTGAAGATAGGAAAGTAAACGTGTTTTCACTGTTTTGAAAAATCGAAAACAAAAAAGAAGATGAAAACGGCAAAGAGAACATTCCATAATTGTTTCTTTTCCTATTTCTTGGCAAATATGCTACCTAGACACCAACAAAATTATTTGAAATCAACTTTGAGTTCTCTCTTACTCTTTTTTTTTTTTTTCTTTTTCTTGCAAATGTGCTCACAAACAGAGTTATTTGAAATCACATTCGAATAAAAAAAAAAGTGTTCGATATTATTTTTTTCAATGTCTTGGCGAAATGTGCTCATCAACTGAATTATTTGAGATGAAATTCAAGTTGAAAAAATTAATTGTTCACTTACCTTTTTCCTTTTTATTTCTTGGCAAATGTTCTCACCGACTTATTTGAATTCAACTTCCAAGTCTAAAAAGTAAGTGTTCGCTATTGCATCTCTTTATGCATCTTAGTAAAATGTGCTTACCAACTGAATTACTTTAAATCTACTTCGGATTGAATAATAGTGATTATTCATTTACTTTTTTTCTTTTTCTATTTCTTGATGAATGTGCTCACCAATGAGTTATTCGAAATCAACTTGGAGTTGGAAAAAGTAATTGATCGATTACTTTTGTCTTTTTCAATTTATTGTCAAATGTGCTCATCTAGACGGCAACTGAATTATTTGAAAGCAACTTCGAGTTGAAAAAAGCAATTATTCACTTTTTTTTTCTTGTCAAATATGGTCATCAGCCGAGTTATTTGAAAGAGTAATGTTATTCATTCTCACTGGGGTTACAAACTTGAAAACACTTCGAGTTAGAAGAAGTGTTGGCTACTATTTTTTTTTCCTTCCTTTTTCCATTTCTTAGCAAATGCGCTCATCAACAGTATTATTTGAAATCAGCTTACTTCTTTCTATTTCTATTTCTTGGCAAATATGGTGACCGAGTTATTCAAAACCAACTTTGATTATGGGTTGATTAAGCTTTGAATTGCGGTTAGACTGTTTAGGGTTGGACTAAATTAGAGTAGACTAGGCTCCGAGCCTGATTTCATTAACTTTTATCAAATTTATTAAAAAATTGATTCTAATTCTCACCAAACAGGAACACGGCAACAGATACCGAATAACTATATACTAAGAGTTTTTGGTAGAGTTTTTAATCTAAATTCTAATTTAATTTAAAGTCAACAATTAATTTTTTTTCACAAAATTTGTAGAATCCATAATTTTTCAACCATAAATTTCATCAACTTTTATCAGAATGTACTAAAACCTGATTTTAATTCTTACCAAACAGGGGCGAAAGAAATTTAATTTAAAGTCAACAATCTATTTTAATCACATATTTTATGAAATACACAATTTTTCAATCAAATATTTCATCAACTTTTATTAAAATATACTAAAAACTAATTTTAATCCTCACCAAACAGAGGCCAAAGATATTTAATTCAAAGTTAACAATTAATTTTAACCACAAATGTTATGAAATCCATAATTTTTTAACCACATATTTCATTAATTTTTATCAAAATTTAATGAAAAATTGATTTTAATTCCACCAGACCAGACGGGGCTAAGGATATGCGTGGAAAACCGGGTAAATTACTAAATACTGGGGGTGCGCGTGGAAAACCAGATTCCAGAAGATATCAGATAAAGAGGGGAAATGTTTAAAAGAGGTCACCCAACTAACATTTTTTTGTCATTTTGGTCAAACTTATTTAATTTATTTCAGTTCAATCAATTTAATTGTAATCTTATCTTAATTTGACCATCTTGTCCATAATTTTTACCAAATCTTGCATATTTTCTCGGTTAGTCTAATGAAACGAGTACAATATTAATATAAATATAATTTACCACCAAAGTATTCTCTCTTTTAAATAAAAAAATACAGATTCCTATTATTAGCACAAAAAATAATCATGTTGTCAATTGCTGATCAATAAGGAATACGAAAGAAATGTATTATCTACTTACCTGTTTCGATTTCAGATACATGTACAGTATGAGTTGGGTTACTAATTTTTGTCAGTCTGGTTACAAAATCTCTTAGTTTTGATGGGTGTAGATGAAACGGTCCAATTGAAACAAAAATACAAGTGAGGTGATCAATATGGAAGAAACTTGTAAGTTGGGTGACGTTGAGAGAATTTATCCCAATAACAAATAGCAGTTACCGAGACTTGCTGTTCAAGCGAAAATCTTGAGCGAGCAAGTCTGTCCGGTGTGACCCCCAACCCCACACAAACCCACTAGAGTACACCCACGGAATTCCAGAATATCAAAGACATCACTTGGCTTCTTCACCTAAATCGCCACACCCGCGCGACATAGATTGTATTGCTTGTGTAATATACAGAAATTTCTGTTTTTATTTTTTATCGTTTCGGGAAGAAATAATTCTGAATTTTGTGTTTTCTCTTATGGGTTTTGTCTTTTAATTGCTGTGTTTAAAGGTCGTGTGATCGAAATTTTGTGATTTTTGAGAGTGAGGTTATAGAGATTCTCAAGGGGTTTTCAGGAGGAGTGGACAGAAAATTGGAAGAGAAATATCTATAAATTGGATGGGAATAAGAGAAGAAAAGAGGGCTCATGAGGAAATCTTTTAAAGATTCTCTGAAAGCGCTCGAAGCTGATATTCAACATGCAAACACCATGTATGTTCTTAGTTTTACTTGATTTACTTCTTGTTCTCCATTTCTGTGTCTCTCTTTACGTTTTCAATTTTTTTTTTTTTTTTTTTGAGCACTGTTTCTAGTAATCATTCTGAATATTGATATTTTAAAAAAATTTATAAGTTTATATCTCCTTTCTGATGAGATTCTGTAAGCTAACCGAGTTCACATAAAAATTTCATAATTTAGCAATTATACACATGGGGGTTTACCTGTGCGTTTTTTAATGATAGGGGCATGATCACTAGCCGAGTTTTGTCGGCTACCCTCATTTTTTGGGGATTTAGAAATGAAAAAGAAAACACAAGCAGATAATCTAAAGACTGTAATTATTATCTGATGCGTCTTTCTATTTGAAGTTAGAAATTAGAGCCTTAGCTGAAAGGCTTGAGAATTTACTGTATTTTACATTTTGCGTTATCAATTTGTTGCTGTTTTTGAAACATTATATCGTGACTACTTAATCTTTTGTAGAAGGGACAAAAGAATTCAGAACTGATTTGATGTATATTTCCGAGCCCTGATGCAATTAATAATGTTCTTGAGATACAGGGCTTCAGATTATCCAAGGGAATATGATGGTGCTTGCCTTCAAATGAGACTATCATACAGCCCCTGTGCCCACGTTTTTCTGTTCCTCGTCCAGTGGACTGATTGTCACCTTGCTGGTGCACTTGGGTTAATTAGAATCCTTATTTACAAGGTGATTTTACTTTCTTTTATGCATTGTTTACTTTGCATTATGCTCGAAAAATTGCACTCTGTTGTGGTCAGTGAAAATTGATGAGGTCGAGGGAATTGTAGGTATTTGAGGATGGTAAGACTACCATGTGTCTTCATGAAAGGAAAGCTAGCATAAGGGAGTTTTATGGTGAGTAGACTTTCAAGTTTCGACACCCTTCCCAATCCTGAAAACCTTTAATTAAATGAGACTATGAACTTTGAAAATATCGAAGTTCAAAATTAACCTCTTGCTAGGGTCACTATGCTTGAAAAATGCTTATAATTTCTATTTAGAATGTCGAGTGAAATGGTTACTCTCTAACATGGTGAGTTCTCATAATGAATGGCGTTGGATAGGTGTGATATTCCCCTCTTTATTGCAACTTCATAGAGGAATCACTGATGTTGAAGATCGGAAACAAAGAGAGATTTGTGCAACTAAATACAGAAGAGTGAACGAGATGAGCAAGGGTAAGCTGTCTGAAATCGATATCGAAAGAGAAGAAGAATGTGGAATTTGCATGGAAATGAGTACCAAGGTTGTCCTTCCCAATTGCAATCACTCCATGTGTATGAAGTGCTATAGAAACTGGTATGTAGACTAACCTGTTTATCCCATAATCTTCTTTTCTGTTCAAAATAGGTGAAGTGCATTAATGGCCCTCTTCATACCTTTTGAGGATCATATTCTCATTTCTGTTTAGTCTTGAAAGCCATGTAAAATGACGCAAATTGCGATCGAATTTCTAATTAGAGATGGTAGATCATCTACTTTATTTCATATCATTTATTTAGGAATCTGAAGAATGCGGTGTATTAGAACTGCTTTTTTGCTTGATATAGGGCCTTATTTTATGCCAAGAGCTTTGTTGTGAATTCCAAGTCATGGTTCTGTGTCTTTTTATTTCTTTGTTTTCCTTGTCGAATACCAAAGAAAGTAAGGGTCATTTAGAAAGATGTATATTCTTGATCAGAGGTTCTGAAACATATTTTTCCTGACTCACTAAGCATTCACCAGGTTGATGAAGAAATTAGCTCATTTGGTAATTTAACTTATCCTTCAGATAACAGACCTAGATTGACCTAAACTGGTGGTTGGACGTATTTAGCAGGATTTCTGGCATAAGAATCAGTGGAGAAAGACAAAGAAAATAAATTTAACTACAAGTTTATGCAACTAAATACAGAATAATTATCATGTTTGGACTATCATGTCCTGATGACTTTATGGATGATCATACTGATGGATGCAAGATTTAATGTTCTGTTCGCTTTATTTTTACGATGTTCTTGGATGATTTATTATGCGTGAAACTGTTTCTTCAGGCGTGCACGGTCTCAATCTTGCCCATTCTGTCGGGATAACCTCAAGAGAGTAAATTCTGGCGAGCTTTGGATCTACACAAGCAGCTGTGATGTTATTGAATTATCTGCAATTCGAAGAGAAAATCTGAAGAGACTTTTCATGTACATTGAGAAGTTGCCTCTCATTGTTCTAGATCCGATGCTGGTTTCTTGTGATTCTCATTTCGGATGGAGTACAAGGTCTTGATTACTGGTTGTACGTAGAATTCAAATAAATGTACATACTATTCTGTTGTCCCATCTTTTTTTTTTTTTTTTGTCTTTTCATTTTTATTCTCGTATTTTAAGCTGTAAATATATGTCCGCCAGTGACTCAGACGAGCATGTTCTGTGATTGGATGTGATTTAAAAGTAATATGACCTACTAGTGCTGATTGATTGTGAATTTGAGTTTTTGGCTTATGAATTTGACGCAAACTATAGTTTGAAATTCTGTACCATTATCTTATCTCCTTTGAACAGTTGTAATATAGATATTCCTGAGTGCTACTGCCGACAACTTCTGTTTCAACTTTCACTTTAGCTGTACTTTTTGACTAGGGGGGAAAGATAATCTTGCGTAGGACCAATGATATTAGCTCATGTTTGGTAAATATTTAGCCCCAGCTTGGTACATATTAAAATTTGATTTTAGTTTCAAATCAAAATCAACAATTAATTTTAATCATACATTTCATGTAATCTACAATTTTTTAATCACACATTCCATCAATTTTTATTAAAATTTACTAAAAATTTGATTTCATCTTAACAAAAAAGGGCTAAAATTAAAATTTTAATTTAAGTTAAAGTTAACAATTAATTTTAATCACGGATAGAGGCAAAAGCCTCTGTAACGGTCGGACGATAGTAAAAAGTCATAGCAAGCCTCGTAGCATTAATGGGTCGTGTATTAGCAGATGATATATATACGGGCACCACAAGGACTCGTAATTTTTTTAATCATACGTTTTATAATTTTTATTAAAATTTACTAAAAATTTGATTTTAATCTCTCCAAAATAATGGTTTAAAACTTATTTTTTTTTATTTAATTTTTTTTTTTTTTTGAT